GGATCTGGGGGCACCAGGGCCCCCCCGGGCTGGGGGGAGCGAAGGCCCGGAGCCGCCGCTGCTGCCCCCCCCCGCAGGGCCGCGAGCAGGACCCCCAGGGCCCCCAGGGGCTCCACTGGCACGGACAGGGGGGCGTCACGCAGGGGGGAGCTGCGGGGGGACCCCAGTGTCAGTGGGACACCCACAGCGCCTCATAACCCTCCCACAATGAGGCAGCGACCCTCCAGATCCCCCCACAGCTCCCCCCACAGTGCAACAGGGCTTCCCCAGCCCCTCCATATCTCCACAGCGGGGCAGATTGAGGGGATCCCCCAGCCCCCCGTACCCTCGCAGTGGGGCAGGTTGAGGGGATCCCCCCGTACCCTCGCAGTGGGGCAGGTCGACGGGATCCCCCCGCCCCCCGTACCCTCGCAGTGGGGCAGGTTGAGGGGATCCCCCCGTACCCTCGCAATGGGGCAGGTTGAGGGGATCCCCCCGCCCCCCCGTACCCTCGCAATGGGGCAGGTTGAGGGGATCCCCCAGCCCCCCGTACCCTCGCAGTGGGGCAGGTTGAGGGGATCCCCCCGTACCCTCGCAATGGGGCAGGTTGCAGGGCCGTCGCTGGGTGCTGGCCCCCGCCCCGCAGTTGCTCCCCCCGCACTCCCGGCGGCGGCTCCGGCTCGCGGGGCTCTCGGGGCGGGTGCAGGTGTGGCTGCAGGGCCCCCACGGCCCCCACGGCCCCCACGGGATCACTGGGACCGCCGGGGACCCCTCAGCCTCCTCCTCGTCCCCTGCGGGAAGAGTCCGTCAGTGGGGCGGGGTGGGTGAAGACCCCCGGAGTGGGCGGCACAGGAGTAGGGACGCTCACCTGGGGCTGTGGGGCTGACATCCGATGTGGGGCTGACATCCGATGTGGGGCCGGGCTCTGGTGTGGGGGGTGAAACAACCGGTGACACCCCCAGGACCCCCGGGACCCCCGGGAGAGGGGCTGGGGGGCTGGGACGCATCTGTGGGACGGGGGGCTGTGGGGCTGTGACCCACCGGCGCACGGAGGGCTCGGGCAGATCGGAGTCTCCGGGAGGGTCTCGTTGCACGGGGAGCCCCCGGGAGGGGCGCAGCGCAGGCGGCCCCACAGGCAAGTGCTGGGGGGGCAAAGGGGGAATCAGTGCGGGCGAGCAGAGGGGTGGGAGAGGGCAGCGGGTTCCAGGCTGGGTCACGGGGAGGGGCTCGGGGCGGTCGGGGAAGGATGGAGGGACTGGAGGGTGGAGAAAGACGGAGGGGGATGGGAAAGGGGAGGGGTACAGTGGGTGGGGGAGGGCAGCAGGCGATACGGGGGAAGGGTCAGGGTCAGGGGGTGGTGGGGGAGGCCCCCCGGGAGTGTCCGTCCCTCACCAGCGGGAGCAGCCCAAGCTCACGGTCCCGCCCGGCGGCAGCTCCAGGATCGGGGGGTCCTCAGGGGGGGTCCCGGAGGGTTCCGGGCCGGGGGGAGTCCCGGGCGTGCCCCCCCGCAGCAGCGCGGCCGGCACGGAGCAGGGGCACTGCTGAGGCTGAGCGGGGGTGGGGGGCGGCCGAGGGGCACCCACAGACTCTGGGACCCCAATCCACCCCGGGGGGCACCCACAGATCCTGGGACCCCAATCCACCCGGGGGGCACCCACAGACCCACGAGCCCCCCATAGACCGCCCGCTGTTCCGGCGAGCACCCACCATCCTGGGAGACAACCATGGAGCACCCGCGGCCCCATAGCAGCACCTTGGGGACCCCCCCACTGCCCCATGGGGATYTCGTAGACCAGGGGACCCCTCCACCACTGTGATCTCTCCCACAACCAGGGACCCCCGACCCACGGACGAACCCGCTGGGAGAGAACCCGTGTAGCCCCCATGGCCCAGGGA